AGACTGAGGCCTCTACTGATCCCCTCTACTATAAAACGGCCCCTAGAACCCCCACTATAGAGACTGAGCCTCTACTGATCCCCTCTACATAGAGACAGACCTCTACTGACCCCTCTACTATAGAGGAACTGCCTCTACTGACCAGACTCTATAGACCCTCTACTTAGAACCTCTACTGATCACCCTACTTTAGATGCCTTACTTGAAGCCCTCTACTGATCCCTCTACTATAGAGAACTAGACCTCTACTGATCCCTCTACTATAGAGACAGCCTCTACTGATCCCCTCTACTATAGAGCTGAGACCTCTACTGATCCCCTCTACTATAGAGACTGAGACCTCTACTGATCCCCTCTACTATAGAGACAGACCTCTACTGATCCCCTCTACTATAGAGACGAGACCTCTACTGATCCCCTCTACTATAGAGACTGAGGCCTCTACTGATCCCCTCTACTATAGAGACTGAGACCTCTACTGATCCCCTCTATATGAGACTGAGGCTCTACTGATCCCCTCTACTATAGAGACTGAGACCTCTACTGATCCCCTCTACTATAGAGACTGAGACCTCTACTGATCCCCCTCTACTATAGAGACTGAGACCTCTACTGATCCCCTCTACTATAGAGTGACCTCTACTGATCCCCTCTACTATAGAGACTGAGACCTCTACTGATCCCTCCTACTATAGAGACTGAGACCTCTACTGATCCCTCTACTATAGAGACTGAGACCTTACTGATCCCCTCTACTATAGAGACTGAGGCCTCTACTGATCCCCTCTACTATAGAGACTGAGACCTCTACTGATCCCTCTACTAAGACTGAGCCTCTACTGATCCCTCTACTATATAGCGAACCTCTACTGATCCCCTCTACTATAGAGCCTGAGACCTCTACTGATCCCCTCTACTATAGAGACTGAGACCTCTACTGATCCCCTCTACTATAGAGACTGAGCCTCTACTGATCCCCTTACTTAGAAGAGACCTCTACTGATCCCTCTACTATAGACTAGGACCTCTACTGATCCCTCTACTATAGAGCTGGACCTCTACTGATCCCCTCTACTATAGAGACTGAGACCTCTACTGATCCCCTTACTTAGAGACTGAGCCTCTACTGATCCCCTCTACTATAGAGACGAGGCCTCTACTGATCCCTCTACTATAGAGCTGAGGCCTCTACTGATCCCCCCCTACTATAGAGACTGAGCCCTCTACTGATCCCCTCTACTATAGAGACTGAGGCCTCTACTGATCCCCTCTACTATAGAGACTGAGACCTCTACTGATCCCTCTACTATAGAGACTGAGACCTCTACTGATCCCCTCTACTATGAGAGACCTCTACTGATCCCTCTACTATAGAGACGAGGCCTCTAACTGATCCCCTCTCCTATAGAGACTGAGACCTCTACTGATCCCCTCTACTATAGAGACTGAGGCCTCTACTGATCCCCTCTACTATAGAGACAGACCTCTACTGATCCCCTCTACTATAGAGACTGAGGCCTCTACTGATCCCCTCTACTATAGAGACTGAGCCTCTACTGACCCCCTCTACTATAGAGACTAGACCTCTACTGATCCCTCTACTATAGAGACTGAGACCTCTACTGATCCCTCTACTATAGAGACTGAGACCTCTACTGATCCCCTCTACTATAGAGACTAGACCTCTACTGATCCCCTCTACTATAGAGACAGACCTCTACTGATCCCCTCTACTATAGAGGCTGAGACCTCTACTGATCCCCTCTACTATAGAGACTGAGACCTCTACTGATCCCCTCTACTATAGAGACGAGACCTCTACTGATCCCTCTACTATAGAGCTGACCTCTACTGATCCCTCTACTATAGAGACTGAGACCTCTACTGATCCCCTCTACTATAGAGACTGAGACCTCTACTGATCCCTCTACTAGAGAGAGGCCTCTACTGATCCCCTCTTAATATGAGACTGAGACCCTCTACTGATCCCCTCTACTATACGAGACTGAGGCCTCTACTGATCCCCTCTACTATATAGGCTGAGACCTCTACGATCCCCTCTACTTAGAGACTGAGACCTCTACTGATCCCCACTATAGGACTGAGACCTCTACTGATCCCCTCTACTATAGGACTGAGGCCTCTACTGATCCCATTTACTATAGAGACTGAGACCTCTGCTGATCCCCTCTATAGAGCCTCTACTGATCCCCTCTACTATAGAGGCTGAGACCTCTACTGATCCCCTCTACTATAGAGACTGAGACCTCTACTGATCCCCTCTACTATAGAAGAGCCTCTACTGATCCCCTCTACTATAGAGACTGAGGCCTTACTGATCCCTCTACTATAGAGACTTTAGGCCTCTACTGATCCCCTCTACTATAGAGACTGAGGCCTCTACTGATCCCCTCTACTATAGAGACTGAGCCTTACTGATCCCTCTACTATAGAGACTGAGACCTCTACTGATCCCCTCTACTATAAGACTGAGACCTCTACTGATCCCCTCTACTATGAGACCTATACTGAGTCCCCTCTCCTATATAGACAGGCCTCTACTGATCCCCTCTATAGAGACTGAGACCTCTACTGATCCCCTCTACTATAGAGACTGAGGCCTCTACTGATCCCCTCTACTATAGAGACAGACCTCTACTGATCCCCTCTACTATAGAGACTGAGGCCTCTACTGATCCCCTCTACTATAGAGACTGAGGCCTCTACCGACCCCCTCTACTATAGAGACTGAGACCTCTACTGATCCCCTCTACTATAGAGACAGACCTCTACTGATCCTCTCTACTATAGAGACTGAGACCTTTACTGATCCCCTCTACTATAGAGACAGACCTCTACTGATCCCCTCTACTATAGAGACAGACGTCTACTGATCCCCTCTACTATAGAGGCTGAGACCTCTACTGATCCCCTCTACTATAGAGACTGAGACCTCTACTGATCCCCTCTACTATAGAGACAGACCTCTACTGATCCCCTCTACTATAGAGGCTGAGACCTCTACTGATCCTCTCTACTATAGAGACTGAGACCTCTACTGATCCCCTC